TTTATAAAGAAGTTACTTCTACTCCACTCACGATTATTCTATGATTACGGTATCTACGATTAGTATATATTTTGTGTAGCTTATAAGTTATTATCAGACCTAAAATTATACTTAATATAATAATAATGTGTGTATGCATACCACTGTTTGATTTCAATATCCTCCTATCTTTCTCCTCTTGGACGGATCTCTCTTACTCCTCTAGTGTTTTGGAAAAGTCACTAATATCGTTTAGCTCGACTACAGGATTTTGGCCGATAAGTGAACTTTCAAGCTTAGCGCTGGGTAGTAACGGAATCTTTACACTAATTGGTATGTTTACCGGAGGAATGAAGTCAGTATACTGAACGGACTTTAGATTCCAGTTAGGTTTTAATACTACTTGTGGTGTGTGTGCCATGCATTGTTCACTTAATGTTATTATACTGTTGCGATCCAGTTATGGAGCTCGGTTGACAAGGGTCGAATCAAATGAATTAACACTTAGTTAAATTAACTATTATTATGAATTTATTGACATAGGTTACTTAGTATTTAACACTTTTTAAACACTCAGAGTAATATTACAATTTAAGGCAAATATATCTAGCATGAATACTGTAGTAACCCGTCGCTCTCACTTGATTGGTTACTGCACACTTCTTTAACGACGAATGCACGTACACGTCGTCGCAATGAATCGGAGGATGACAGTTGAAGTGAAGGTAGAGTAAGAAGTTTAACAACAAATGTAGTTAATTATTGATATATGTTTATTAACACAAAACTAATAATATAGTTAATTTTAAGTAAGTTGAAATTTGTCGACAGAATAATAATTCTACCGGAGAATAGTTGTAATTTAATTTGTACTTGATGTGGACGGCGATGCGGCTGTTTCTATTCCGCTATCCACACAAGTATTGTAAAGCACTGGTAACTATTTCTATGTCTAAAATGTCTGTGAAACAGGGCCCCTATTTATATGAGACATGCCCGGGATTTAGGAAAGGATGATTGACGTCATGAGAATGGCGTGATGCGTAGTCGATCATTATTAACCAATGAGGCGGTAGCCTCAGTGGCCTATTTTGGTGGCGTGATGTTGTTCAGGCCACCTAACTTTTGGAACGCCGTTTTTGTGCAAAAACGTCGGTTTACTACAATACTGTCAACTATACTCTATTCGCAATGATATCATTACTCGGCGGCGACCAGTTTTTGTCGGACGGCGGTCAGACATATGGTGAGACACCGTCAACACTATGGCAACGCGTCGGGCGCTGCAATGAAACAAAGCCATGCCCATGCACACAACTAGGACGCCGAGTAATGATCTCATTGTGAATACAGTATAGTCGTCACGCAGAAATAGTGTGTCTGGACTCCCTTTCGGAGAGCCTTTATATATTATACAATAAATCATGTATTAATATTCCCTTTTCGCTTTTAGGGTCCCATTTTTGTCGTTTTTGTTTTGGTACCTATATGTGTAAAGACATTTGTACCAAAAACTCTTAGATATTTTATTTCCGGTTCTTTTCTAAAATAATTTTCAAACGGGGTCTTGTCTTTAATTGAACAGACAGCCGTATTAACCCTTTCAGCCCAAAGTGATTTATTTACATTTTTCGTATATAACATAGTCCTTGTGGCTTCTACTCGTTCAATCTTCCCATTTTGATCTGGTGTATATGCAACTTTTGTTTGATGACTTATTCCATACTTCTGTAAAACACTAGTTATTTCTTTATTAAACAACTCTAAGTTATAGAGTTATAGAGGTGTATAGAGTTTTAAAAAAACTTCTGAGTTTCGAATTACAACTTATATACCTACAATTAATAATTGTTTATAAAACTATTTAATTATTTTTGTGTAGCACAGGGACGATATTTAAGTTCTATATTATTTTCTAAGGATAATTTTTTTTTATTATTTTTAAAATACTTAAAAACACAATATATTAATATTGCAAGTATTAATAAAACTATTTGTTTGCATAAACGAATTCATATGTCTTTTCTATAGTAAGGGAGGTTATCAATTTGTTCTGTTGGTCTAGTTGTAAGTTTATTCGATTAAAAGCGTCTTTATTAAATTTTGAGATTTTTTATTTCATTTAAGTGAATTGGTTTCAGGTATGATTGGTTGATAGGCATATTACAACAAGAATCATTTAAAAGAGATAGTTCTATTGGTATAATGACAGGAAGTGATGATTCTAACGATTGTTCTGTTCTAAGGACACCTTTCGTAGTAAAAGCTGTACATCAAGATTTCAAGTATAACTTTCCGGAATTTTAATTTTAATTTTAAAGTTTATAGTTTTCTTATTACAAACTATTGTTGTGGTTGTTGGCTTTTCACTCACAAAATACCAATAATTATTAAAATATGACGCATACCACATTTATTTTTTGAACTCGGTAATATATGTTTCACATTGTGGTGGTTTAGTTACAGAGTTCCTTAGTAATTCTGTTACACAAGTCGGATCCGACTCACCGTTGTGTATCATTTCATTAAAAGTGCAAAGGAATATATTAGCTACTTCTATACGGTTATTAAGATTTGGCCATAAAAAATATTTTGAAACCATTTCGTTCGCTAATAAATACATAGGACTTTCAATCATGTGAAGAAATTGGCCGTATTCATTAATCGGAACGTAAATTGGTAAAATATGATACAAGTTGAAATTGGTTTCAATACACAAAGGCATTTTTAATGAAAATATTAATTTATCATTAATATAATGTAGTTGGATGCTCATTATTTTAAAAATGTTATGAATATTTTCTATATCAAATTTTACCAGCAATTTCAAACCATAGGGAATAATATGTTCAATACTGTTTATTTCCGATAACAATTGATATGGCGTTATTACAAAAGCATTGACCTTATTAATTTGAGTGTTGGATATCATTTTCTGTAACCTAGTTATAAACATATTCAACTTGAATTTATTACTTTCAATTAAATGTATTAATTAAATATCGAAAAATTCTTTTTTTTCGGCAGATATTTAATTTTCAAAGTTATTTAAACTGTTTTCCACTCTTTTCATATTATTATCAAACACAATTTTATTTTCATTAAATGACGCAACTGTATTATTAAAATTACTAATTGTACTTCTCAAAATCGATATTTGTTCGTGAACAATTCTTAACACTTGACCTTCATCTTTCTCCATTTTATTTATTGTGCTATCGTATCTTCAAACATCGTCGGCATCGGCAATACCAAACATCCATTTAAGTGTTAACCTCCGTATTCGAAAGATCGTTTAACTCTTTTATTATGTTCAGCAAATTGTTTAATTTTTAAGCCGACGTGTAGATATTTTTGATATTTTACTTAACGTACATTTTAATTGATTTTAACATAGACTTATTAATATCTAAACTATTATATAAATACTTTAAATCAAAATACGTATTAATAGTCCAACTACTTTTATATAACTTATCTTTACCAACAACTTCATATTGTAAACCCATTCTGTCATTGGTAGATATCAATTTGTAAAGCTCGTCGTCTTCATTTTTAATTGAAGTTTCCAGAGTAGAATTTTAACAGGTGAGAAGTAGCGGTATCATATTAAAGCAGATTATTGTCCAAAAATCCATTTTGAAATGAACAGCAGGCAACAGTTTATCTAATTAAATAGTTAAAATATTTTATTTACAAATAGAAAAGTTAAATAAAGCTCCGTATAAACAAAATATGTATATTTCTTACCTTTCTAAAAATATCAGTTTTGTTAGCTTCTGTGTTCAATGTTGTTTCTCGAATAAAATAAAATTTAAGGTATATATATGAAAAATTGAAAAATCTGAATGCAATCACTCGAAAGCGTTTGACAAAATAAAATAAATTGACGAAATGGCGTTGTCCTACTCAAGACTGCCAAGATCTTTTAATTTTTCAAAAGCATATTGCTGCGCATCTCTCCATGCAAATTTGGTATCTTTCTTATGTAGGCTAGTTAACGGCTTCGCGATTTTCGCATAGTCCTCGATGAACCGCCTATAATAACCCGTTAGCCCTGAAAATTCCTTAATATCTGTCGTATTTTTCGGTATCGGTACTTTTTTTACGCATTTGATCTTTCATTCGTCGGGTTATACCGCCTCAGCTGATCATTTATGCCCTAAAAATACTACCTCCTTTCTTAAAAAATGACATTTACGGGGTTGTAATTTCAAATTGTTTTCCCTAAGCTTTTCAAAAATAATTTGTAATTTCCTAATCATAAAACTAAGTATCATACAATCATATACATTTAAATCCCATATTACTTCGTTTTTATATGCATCTATGCCGTATTGGTTAGTTAGTTTAAATGAAGTGCCGGTTGTTAGTATTAGTGGATTTTCTTTGCTATTCACTATTGCTACCCCAGTGGTCAGAAATATTTTATAGTTGGCCTGTACAATAACATCTTGCAACATACCATTATCTATTGTGAATGTTGTACCTATGCAATTACCATTTCTGTCAGTGAATCCAGCTAATTGTAGCAGAAAAAAGTCTTGTTTCATTTATTTTTAATTCTATAATTACCCCTCCAAGTGGAAGCTGATAAATTAACCTTTGGTGAATTTCCGAAAAACTTGAGCTGCCTAGTTCTGATATTTCTGTAAAGTATCCATTTTTTACCATTTGTGCATATTCTAGTACTGAGCACCTTGATATGAAATAGTTTATTATTATTGTACATGATTTATAAGCTATTGAATAAGTGTCTGTTTTTTTGTAGTAACTGGATTCTCTGAATAGGTTGAATCTAAAAACAAAGGGCCTCGGCCGTCGGCACCGACGGTTGATTACTCCCAAGGTCAGTTTGTGGTAGTTGTTGTTGTAGTGAAAATATTATTTTATAATATTTGAGCAAGCATCCAGCTCGCGGTTTCGCGCCGCCTGTATTATCAGTAAACATATGTTTTATTGTATACTGCTTTACTATCTACTGCTTGGTTATCATATTATTTATTTAGTATAATTTTAAGATGGAACTAGCAGGGACGTATATAACACAAGATTCTTATGATCAAATTCGTGAAGAATATCAAAAACGAAAAAATGGTAATTATAAAAATGGCGGTATTACACTGCCACAAACACAATTCGTGGGACCTGGTAATCGTGTTGTCGATGAAGATAACAAAAGTAATTTTAATCATTTGCCTGATAACTGCTTGGATTGGGTGGCACTACAACATGATGTAGATTATCATAATGCTGGCAACACTGATTCTACACAACTACATCAAATAGTTGCTTTAGATAATAAAGCAATAGACCAAGGTTGGAACGAATGTCTACGCAGTCAACCTATTGGAACATCCATACTAGCAAGCGGTTTGAATATAAAGCAGCACTTTGAACATTGGGCAGAGACACTTAGTTGGCCGTTTGGAAAAAACAAAGCTATTTATCCACCGATTACAGACAACACAAAACAAATTAATTGGTTTGATAAGAAATTGAGCAGACGTCGAGGCGATTTACAAGGTAATAATGGTTTTTCGTTATTTAGGCCCCCCTCCTCCACAACGTCCAAATTGGAATAATTTAAATAGTAGTCAAAAATCATATGGTATTAGACAACATAATATTGCTCGGGCACGTCGTAATTTACCACCATTTGTTTTAGGCGAAGAAATCGTTGTTGAACCCGATATTAACGAGGAGGAGGGGTCAGAAACATTCGTAGTACCAGATAATTACGATTTTGATACTGATAGCGATTTGGATTGTAACTACGACGGAGGTATAAATCCAAACTCACCTTCAATGAATGTTTCAACAAAAACACCCGACGGTAAAAGAAATAATGATTCGGGCCAGGGAGGTAGTGGTTCCAAGAAGACGAAACTTCCTGGTACGGGGCATGAAACAGCTAATGATCCAGATACTGGGAATCCTAGTACTGAAAATGTTGTCATACCTCGCCCATTTCATAAATCAACAGGATATACAATGGTGTTTAGAAAAAATCACTCAATTATCAGTTATGGTTTGGCAAGTGTTCAGTTACAACTTGGAAGTTATGCTAGCGAACGTTTGGGAACAACATCTCTAATGTACTTACCTGTTGACAAGCCATATTTTTATATGTCACCTTCTGAATTTAATAATATTGTCAGTAACATAAGAGGAGTAAAAGTGTTGGAAGTAAAATGTAAAGTAGTTATGAGAAATCCAAGAACTGCTTTCGAAACAAATGCATCTACGAGTAATTTGGCTACTTTAAATCAAAATAAGTTTATACAATATGCTACTGGATTAATTAATAAAACAAGAGGTTTTAATACAGTATATGAATTTTCTACTGCAACCAACCCGATGGTACCTTCATCTGTAAAAATAATTGATGAAAAATTTATGAAAAAAGTTATTAGTGCTATGTATGGTACTAAACTTGATGATTGGTTATCTCCAAATTGGTCAGCTGGGGCTACATTACCTTGTTCATTCATGAATTTGCCAATGCAATTTCCGTCTTATTACTGTATGTACGCAAATAGTGCACAAAACAGTGGTAAAATAGGATGGCAAAATATAACACAACATATTACTAAAATGGATGCGAGTACTGCTGTGGGAACAACAATTATTGATTATAATTATAAACCAACGCTATCGTTTTTAACAATGCCTTGGTTATCTGTGTACTCTGGTCGCACTGAAACTGGCGGAAACAATGTAGAGTCATTCAAGGTTGCCGACACAAATAGTATCGCATTACCTAATAGTTACACTATTAATAATAATGACGGTACTTATAAAGCAGACCCTAGTAATCAATACTCATTGTTAACTGATGCTAAATGGAAAACAATATTTAAAAACAATTTTAATCGTTACGTTGAACCTATAGAATGTGGTCAATACATTAAACAAGGACTTCGTACTGCTTCATCTGTAAAAATACAACCATCATTACATGTTGGAGTTTGCCCTGTACCACAATTGACAACTACTAATGCCAATTTCGTACCAGACAAATTTACTGATATAGAATGTTTATGGGATATTGAAACTGAGTTAATATGTGAATATGGACTACCATATACATATACTACATTCCCCACTTGTCATACAGAACTTGAAAATTCATCCATGGTCGTCGATAAAAACACATCAGAATCTATGTTCTGGGAAGAGCTTAGTTCGTTTAACAATCAATTCATATCGCCGGCATAGCAATCAATAACAACGACGTCATCGACCACACCCGTACCGATAGATAACCGGCCAGTAATTAGACCGGGGTCGATTGTAGACATGTTACATAGAAGACAAGAGATTATCGATCCGTCGTCGTTGGAACAATTTACAAATCATTAAATAAATATATAACACAATGTAAATTATAATATTTGTTTTTTTATTATCATATATTAATATTATACATTCTAAACAATGGAAGTAAAAACAATGGGTAAATTTTTTTATCGTAATTTCTAAGAAAAGGTGCACTATTCCAATTATACAATTTTATTCTGGATTGGAATGCCGACATTCCGAATATAGACAAATTATCATTGGTAAGAATTATTATAGGAGGACCTTGGAGTGCTTGGTCATTTTTATACTTAACAGATATCCTACAAGTATCACCACCTAACAAAGCTTTTAATTCATTAACATGATTGGCTTCGTAATTAGGTTCGTTCCATAATACCAGCCGTTTACCGGCTGCTTCCATGAACGCGAAATTATTGGTTTTGTTTGCAGTACCAAGTACACCATAATTAATGAAGAAAGAAGCCACAGCATCAAAAAAATAATTTTTCCCAGCGTTAGGTGGTGCTAATATAGCTAGGGTGTTACATTTTGGTATTCTTTTATCAATAATATTTATTAAATCAGTTAAAAAATCTATAATATTATCACTATTGTTATCGAATTGAAATAATAATAATTCGTTAGCTATGCGAACAGATTCTTCGACATTATAATAAACTTGATCTTTTAACCTATTGTACGCATTAAAATATGGTATGACTTTATCGTCATTATAATAATTATTAAAATCGTCCAGAGTCCAATGCATTAATTTTATGTTCCATAAATCTAAGTCCCTATCTACATATTTATTTTTTGCGCATAAATAATTTAAGTTTGAATTCAAATAATATTCTTTTATGTTTCGAAAAGCGTCAGGAGGACAGCATGGGTAACAATATAGTAATTCAGGTATACTCATTGGCCCGTTTTGTGGAAGAAGCCGGGGGTTTTTCTTATCCTTTTTAGATTTTTTAACTTCACCATTTTCTCCCCCATCATCTTCACAATTCTGGACGTGAAGTTGACAGCTTGGTGGCTCGCACTGAACGTCCCACGGCACCGTGCTGTCGCCCCCTTCCAGTAGTCCCCTTTGGGTTTCTCCCAGATATCCACGCGCCTATTGTAAAGAAAAACACGTAGTCATTCTATTAACAATTTGTTCATATGTACATAAGTTATATCGTTCATGCATATCGTTAAAATTATTATCTGTTAGTTCTATATAATGTATCATACCACATATTAAACATTCATTAGGCTTATCGTTATTATCAATATTAAAATATGAATCAAAGTTTTTTAATATCAAGTCTGTTATATAGTTATATCCAAATTCCAAAGGCCCTCTATTAATAATATTATAAGGAGTACAAAGTATTAATTTAAAAATGTAATAACTATTATCGTCAAATGTATGCATTACTTCCATAAACTGTTTGTGTTGAATACTATTATCGTTATTTAATATATCAATTAAGTCATCGGGATTATTTTCATTAAGTTCATATTTAATTTTTTTAATTAAATTAAAACCCGCTATTTTATTATTTAATATTTTCATACGATTTATATAATTAAATCTAATTTTTTTAAAGAAGTTTATTAGTACTAACCGATATATATTTATATCTATCAAATAGTCGTCCATTCTCTCTGAAGCCTCCAATAAGGTGGATGCGTCTGCCGCCCTGAGATAGGTATCGCAGTATGTTTCCATAATCCCTTGGTTGGAAGCTGATTGCTCTAGAAATCCTACGAAGTCCACGTCGTCCGTACTTTGTCCAGAATGCTCCTCGGACGAGGAAGGAGCACCTACAAGAACCTCCGGAGTACCCACATACGTGACTGACGTGGACGTGGTCGTTGTGCTCGGCGACACAGTAGAAGTGGGTGGGTGGGTATCGATCAATAAGCTGTTCCAGTTCAAGCAGACATTCCTGAACTCCCCCAGCTCCACTAGGCACAATGACTCTGCTGACATATCTATAAAAATTTATTAATTAAAATAATTTTAATATTTAAAAATAATTTAATATATACCTGTGGATACCGCTGACAAACTTAGAAGCCAGCTCACGTCCAAGTTGATCAATGAGGTTCTCATACTTTTCCGCATCACTTGGTATAGTCGGGTCATCACTTCTGGCTTGAGGATCATAGTTTTCTCCCATAAAGTCTGTATTTTCGGATTCAGCCATATCTTCGGGTGTATAACTTGTTCCACTACTTTCACAGGACAAATTGCGAAAATAATCATCACCAATGAAATTATTGAAAATTCGTTTGTTGTCGTTGGAAACATCATTTCCACTAGGTTTAGCAAATCCTCCTCGCTGTCCAAATTCTTGTTCATTGTTTCGTTCGCCCACACTTTCAGGTCCACTAACTTGGTTTTCATCATCTGTGCTTCCAAAGTTGTCAGATCGTCCTCCGAAGTCACTATCTCGTACGCTATACTGGCTGGCGGTGTCACTGTCTCGGTCGACAATACTGTCGATGTTTTTTTGGTCACTTTCGGTTTTTCCGTGTTCGACGGTCCCGATTTTTCGCTTTTTCGCTTCATTGACCCACTGCTTGAAGAGGTCTCTTCGATAATTTTGCATGTCTCGGATATGAAAGACATAATAATTATGCGTTTATTTTGTATAGTACTCGTAAGAAGTTTGATAAACAAATATCGTAGACTTCGTTATTTTTGTATACAAAAAAACGTACTGAAGAAAATACACTAAGTGCCTGCTATTAATATGATTTAGAACAATAGATATTGTTAAACGATTATTGATATCAAATGTCATATTATAGATTATATTTGTACTTAGTATTATCGATTATAAATTGCGCAATACAAAGGGCGGCGCAACAACGCGAGCTGGATGCTTGCTCAAATATTATTGAAAATAATATTTTATCTACAACTCCTACTACCACAAACTGACCTTGGACGTAATCAACCGTCCATTTTCTCGGAAGCCTCCAACAAGGTGGATGCGTCTGCCGCCCTCAGATAGGTATCGCAGTACGTTTCCGTAATCCCTTGGTTGGAAGCTGATGCTTCGAGAAATCCGACGAAGTCCACGTCGGCCGTACTTGCTCCAAAATGTTCCTCGAACGAGGAAGGAGCACCTACAAGATCCGCCCGAGTAGCCACATACGTGGCTGACGTGGACGTGGTCTCCGTGCTCAGCGACGCAGTAGAAGTGCGGCGGGGGGTACTTGTCAATAAGTCGTTCCATTTCAAGCAAACATTCTTGAACTCCCCAAGTTCCACCAGGCACAATGATTCTGCTGACGTATCTACAACAATATTATTTTATAGAATATATTATAAATAATTTATTTTATATTTATTTACCTGTGTATACCGCTGACAAATTTAGCAGCCAACTCACGTCCAAGTTGGTCAATAAGGTCTTCATATTTCTGCGCATCGCTTGGTACAGTTGGGTCATCACGTGGGGTTTGAGTATCATCGTCCTCTCCCATATTGCCTGGATAGGTGGACTCATCCACATTTTCGGGTGAATTACTTCTTCTACTACTTTCAAAGGACAGGTTACAAAAATAATCATCACCAACGCGATGATTGAGTATTCGTTGGTCGTCGTCGGGAACATCATTTCTATTAAATTGAGGAGGTCCTCCTCCTCGTTCAAGTCCTTGTTCATAGTCTCCTTCGCCCATACAAATGTAAAAAAAATGTAATGTAAACGGCAAAATATAACACAATATATTACTAAAATGGACGCAAGTACAGCCATTGGAACAACAATTTTAGATTATTCTTATAAACCAACATTATCTTTTTTAACAATGCCGTGGTTATCTGTGTACTGTGGTCGCGCTGAAACTGGTGGAAACAATGTAGAGTCATTCAAGGTTGCAGACACAAATAGTATCGCATTAACTAATAGTTATACAATTAATAATACTGACGGTAGTTATAAAACCGATACCAGTAATCAGTATTCTTTATTGACAGACGCTAAATGGAAAACAATATTTAAAAACAATTTTAATCGTTATATTGAACCTATTGAATGTGGACAATATATTAAACAAGGACTTCGTACTGCGTCGTCTGTAAAAATACAACCATCATTACATGTTGGAGTTTGCCCTGTTCCACAATTAACAACAACAAATGCTAATTTTGTACCAGATAAATTTACGGACATTGAATGTTTATGGGACATTGAAACTGAACTTATATGTGAATATGGATTGCCATATACATATACTACATTTCCTACGTGCCATACAGAACTCGAAAATACATCCATGGTTGTTGATAAAAATACATCAGAGTCCATGTTCTGGGAAGAACTAAGTTCATTCAACAATCAATTTATATCACCGTCTGCATAGCAATCACAGACAACGACGTCATCGACCACACCCGTATCAACTGATAGTCGACCTATACTCCGACCGGGATCAATTGTTGATATGTTACATAGAAGACAAGAGATTATCGATCCGTCGTCATTAGAACAATTTATAAATAATAAATAAATATAACACAATGTAATAATATATATTTGTTTTTATTAACATAAATTATATTTGAATATTATACATTTTAAACAGTGGTAATAAGAACAATGGGTATATTTTTTTATCATAGTTTCGTAAGAACGGAGCGCTATTCCAATTATATAATTTAATTCTAGATTGGAACGCTGAAATTCCAAATATTGATAAATTATCATTAGTGAGTATTATAATAGGTGGACCTTGAAGCGCCTGATCCTTTTTATATTTTACAGATATTCTACAAGTATCACCACCCAATAGTGATTTTAATTCGTTTACGTGGTTTGCTTCATAATTAGGTTCATTCCATAGAACCAGCCGTTTACCAGCTGCTTCCATGAAAGCAAAATTATTGGTTTTATTAGCTGTACCGAGTACACCATAATTTATAAAAAACGAAGCAACAGCGTCAAAAAAGTAATTTTTACCAGCATTGGGTGGTGCTAGTATTGCGAGTGTATTACATTTAGGAATTCTTTTATCAATTACATTTATTAGGTCAGTTAAAAAATCAATTATATTATCGCTGTTATTGTCGAATTGATATAATAACAATTCGTTTGCTATACGAACAGATTCGTCAACATCATAATATACTTGGTCTTTTAATCTGTTATAAGCATTAAAATAAGGCATTACTTTTTCGTCTTTATAATAATTATTGAAATCGCTTAAGGTCCAGTGCATTAATTTAATATTCCATAAATCAACATCTCTATCTACATATTTATTTTTAGCGCATAAGTAATTTAAATTAGTGTTCATATAGTATTCTTTTATATTTTTAAAGGCATCGGGAGGGCAACAGGGATAGCAGTATAATAATTCCGGTATATTTAATGGCCCGTTTTCTGGACGAAGCCAGGCGTCTTTCTTATCCTTTTTAAGTTTTTTAGTTTCACCATTTTTTCCCCCATCATTTTGACAATCCTCGACGCGAAGTTGACAGCTTGGTGGTTCGCATTGAACGTCCCACGGCACCGTGCTGTCGCCCCCTTCCAGTAATCCCCTTTTGGTTTCTCCCAAATATCCACGCGCCTATAATAAAGAAATACATTTAGTCATTCTATTAACTATTTGATCGTATGTACATAAATTGTAACGTTCATGCATATCATTAAAATTATCATTAGTTAAATTAATATAATGTATCATACCTACCACAAACAATACACACATTAGGCTTATCATTGTTAGATATATTAAAATATGAGTCAAAGTTCTCTATGATTAAATCTGATATATAATTATAACCAAACTCTAATAACCCTCTATTAATAATGTTAAATGGTGTACAAATAATCATTTTAAAAATATAATAACAATTATTATCGAAACTATGCGGGACCCCCATAAATTGTTGATGTTCTATACTATTATCTATTTCTAAAATATCAATTAAATCATCGGGATTATTTTCGTTTAGTTCGTATTTTATTTTTTTTATTAAATTAAATCCAGCTATTTTATTATGCAAATTTCTTTTACGATTTATACAATTTAATCTAATTTTTTTTATAAAGTTGACAAGTACTAACCGATAGATGTTTATATCGATTAAATAATCGTCCATTTTCTCGGAAGCCTCCGACAAGGTGGATGCGTCTGCCGCCCTCAGATAGGTATCGCAGTACGTTTCCGTAATCCCTTGGTTGGAAGCTGATGCTTCGAGAAATCCGACGAAGTCCACGTCGGCCGTACTTGCTCCAAAATGTTCCTCGAACGAGGAAGGAGCACCTACAAGATCCGCCCGAGTAGCCACATACGTGGCTGACGTGGACGTGGTCTCCGTGCTCAGCGACGCAGTAGAAGTGCGGCGGGGGGTACTTGTCAATAAGTCGTTCCAACTCATACAAACATTCCTGAACTCCCCGAGTTTCACCAGGCACAATGATTCGGCTGACATATCTAAATTAAATTTAATTAATTAATATATAAATAAAAAATATTATTTATTAATTACCTATGGATTCCGCTGACAAATTTAGAAGCCAACTCACATCCAAGTTGGTCAATGAGGCCTTCATATTTTTGCGCATTACTTGATATAGTTGGGTCATTACCGTCGACTTAATTATCATTGTCCTCTCCCATATCGCTTGAATTGATGGGCTCGTCCACTTCTTCGGGTGAATAACTTCTTCGATGACTTTCAGAGGACAAGTGACAAAAATAATCATCACCAACGCGATTATTGAATACTCGTTCGTCGTCGTCGGGAAAACCATTTGACATAGACTGAGGTGATCCTCCTCCTCGTTCAGTTCTTTGTTCATCGTCTCCATCGCCCATGTCTTCAAGTTCACTAATTTGGTTTTCGTCATTTCCGCCTCCATTGCCACTACATCCAGATCCTCCAATATCACTGTCTCCGTCACTGTCTCCGTTACTGGCACAGTCGATGTCTTCTTGGCTCTCGGTTTTTTGCTTTTCGATGGACCCGGTCGTTCGTTTTTGCGCTTCTGACATCCACTGCTTGAGGATGTCTCTTCTGAAGTTTTGCATTGTTCACCAAATAAAGACATAATAAATTATTCGATTTGTTCTAAAATACTCGTAAGAAGGTTGATACAAAACTATCGTAGACTTCTTTATTTTCTTATATAACAAAACGCACTAAACATAATGTGTGCGATGCTCCTATTTATATGATCTAAGACAATAGAATGTTATTGATATGTTATTGATATTAAATGTCATATAATAGATAACTTTTGTTCTTAGTATTTGCGATTAAGTATTGCGCAATATGACGCGCCCGAAACCGCGAGCTGGATGCTTGCTCAAATATTATAAAATAATATTTTCACTACAACAACAACTACCACAAACTGACGGTCTGATCTAAATCTAAATTCAGACTATTGAATGCCGTTATGTTTATTTTAGGTCCACCACAGTCATATGCAAGAAATCTTAGTGTTTGTTGTATGAGTGAAAAGGTGATTATTCTTGGGAAATACATCTTGATACTGCTAGATTATAATAAACAATTTTGTGTTAGATATATAATATATAATCTTTGGTTCTTGGGAAGAAGGGCTTAAATCAATTTCGAACAGTTTTCAACACAGGTAAATCAAATTTTTAAAATTGCTACAAGTGGAAATTAAATATTTTATTTCCCACTTCAAATACTTTCTATATTCGGTTATCATGCTAAACAAATAATTAGTAATACAACTATGAAAATATTAAGGATTTACAAGATAATTGCAGTTAAGCCCTTCTTCCCAGGAACCAAAGATGTATGGTGAGTATATTCATGTCAGAGTTGGGCAAAATAAACATTTATTCAAATAATTTGAAGATATTATTATTCAAATAAAAAAATGCGATAATAAATGCAATAAATATATTTTGTTATAGTTATTCAAATATAAAATCTATTTGAATAATGTCAAAATATTATTATTCAAATATAAAATCTATTTGAATAATGTCAAAATATTATTATTCAAATAATTTATTATAATAAATATAATAACATAATATTAGTCATAATATTATTTGAATAATTTTCAAACATAGTATACTAATACTAAATATGTATTATAATATAATGATTATAACCTAACATAATTATTTCATTAAAGAATTAACAAAATATTTATTATTTATTTAATTAGTTACTAAATTACTTCTGAATCAAATCATTATTTGAAGGATTGTCACCTATTGCGAACTGAGAAGCGTCAGTTGATAATATAAACTCTTTAGTGAAATCAGGTCATTGCAAAATTGGTTCTGCTAATAATTTTCTCTTAAAAGTATTAAACGCTTTTGGTCGTTCCAAATCAAGTTTGTATCTTTTTTCAATAGTAAAGTCACTGGTTTCACTATCTAGGCAAAATTTGGAATGAATCACCTATAATTATTTGCTAAACCTATAAAGATTTTTAATGTAGTAGTATTATGTGGTATTGGAAATTGTTTTACCCAGGCTGTTTTTCCAGGATCCGGTTTAATAAAATTTTCCGTAATTATGTGCCCTAAATAAATTAGTAGTATATATTTGTATGTTCTGATCACCTTTTTTACAGGGAGATTTCTTCATTTCAAGTGGGCATTTCTACATACTCCACCGTGTAACACATAATCTCAAAAACCCTAATGTATGTTCTAAGCACCTTTTTTTACAGGAAGATTTCTTCATTTCAAGTGAGACATTTGTACATGCTTCACCGTGTAACACAAATTTTCAAAAAATAGGAAAACAGTGTATATGTGGTTGTACAACACAAGTACACAACACATAACTGTGTCTATATCATTTTGTTAAACAAACAAAATAAATATGTTTTTACCATCAATGTATTACTCATAAGCGTTGGCAACACTGAACTTTTTATAATCATTCGTACTAAAATTAAGTTAGCTATACATTTCAGTAACGAATAATCCGTTGTTAAAAAAAGTTATGCTTTATATTTTATTGTCTTGTTTCACTTATACATTTATTTTTTAAGTAAGAATTTCCAATTTAATGTTTTTTTCTTTAAAATAAAAAAAAACATGAACTTTCAAAAAATCACCAGCGATTATTCTTCATTAGTTTCTTTAGTACGAAACCAACCATATGCAACATATCCGCAATATGTTACATTCACATCAAGATTAAAAACATATAATATATTTCCGTCAACTATACCTCAAAACAAATATGTATTGTCTGAATGCGACTTTATATATACAGAGGTTCAAGATATTGTGGAATGCTTCTCTTGTGGACTTGTATTACATGACTGGAAGAAGGATGATATTCCATGGATCGAACACTCAAGACATAATTCCAAATGTATTTATGTATTATTTTCGAAAGGTAACCACTTTGTAGAACACATAATAACCAAATGTGGAAGAACTTTGTATGTAATTGTGAAACTAAATATGTCACTCGCTCAACTGCTTAAACGTATGAACGATATTAAAATAAAATTTTGTATAATATTGAATAAATTATTGAATTTTATTAAAACAGTTTAAATGTGTTATTATTCCATTCTATATCTTGTAAATACGTGACCTAATGGATAAGACGTGAAGTTTTTAATTCAATATATAAGGTTCAAATCTGGGTAACAGATGTTTGTTTAATTTAATTTGCAGATATAATCCGAGATATATAATTAATAATAAGCTCCCCCCCTCCACACTTATCAATTAGGTCAAGTATTTACTTTTTTGAAATTGTATTTAACTTTTTTTAGTATAAAACGTTGTTGTACGAATACAATTTAATCAGTATACAATTAACACTCTGATAATCATAGTATAATTTTTTAAAACAATAATCGCCAGAACGAGCAAAAATATATCAGTAAGTATTATAAGCTCGCTACAATATGATTTCACCGATTGTCTCAAGGTCAGAATTTGAAATTCGTCAATATGGAAAGAAAAGTGTAACATTAGGTTTGTTAGTTAACAAAAAGATTTTGATTGTTGTAATATTAAAATGTAAAATTACTAAAAAGAGTTTAAGCCTCGATCTAGACCAATGGCAATCATTAATGTGTGAAAATAATTATAAAGCAATAATTATTGATAATCTTCAAAACCGATGTAAACGTGTAAGAATAACTGATAACTTAAGCTATTCCGTTAATGTGAAACAGTCTTCAATCATATTATATTCTAATGAAAATTATATAACTTTATCACATGTCGATTTGCAAAGGCTGAATCAGCTTGGAGCTTGTATCGATCTCTATATAATCCAGAAGCAGAAAAAATTACCATGCTACCAGAAGACTTTTGACACAGCATAATATGCATTAATTATGGCAGATATTAACAGGTTACCCTCTTCTTGTCGACGGAATGAATTTACAAACTCAAATATTCAGAATTATAACTTAAGTTATACTAATATAGAAACTAATGATATTTCTTTTATGCATGAATTATTACAATATCATTATACCTCATTATCAAATATGATATTACAAGAGTTAAAATTAGGTACATCAGCTATTAACCTGTAATTTATACAATTTTATTTTTACACATCATGACACTAAATCATATACACTACTTTTGTATCACTTTTAAAAATAAATTAACGATTAGTTAATATATATTTTATCATTTTAATTTTCAACAACAATTACAAACAGATTTATTATGATTTTGATTTTTTAACACATCCTATTTTCTTGTTTGGATTAGACATGAACCGTGTAAATATTGTTTGTATGATGTTGGATAAATCGTTTCGCGAGCCCTTGATCATTTTTTTTTAATTAAAATGATAAGTATTTTACATTACAAATATATATACATATATTCACATTCATATATTATAAGAACCTTTTAACTATTACATACATCAACCAATGAATTTCTTTAATTATTTTTTTTTTTTTTAGGAGTTAGTCATTGTAAGTTGTATTCAAGTAAATTCTAAGAATCATATTTATATAATATTATATAATATTACCTGTCTGTAGCAATAATATTTTGAATATTTTTTATTTTATAGTGATTTATTGTCCAGTAATCACTACATACTTCGTTATCAGATGGCAATTTTATGTTTACTATTTCATCACTTTGTTTCACCATCATCGAATTAATAAGTTCATTATCTACTTTCACATCTTTAATTAAAGGAGCAATTCTATCCAGATATGAAATATTCTAAAAAAAAAAAAAATAATTATAATAATATTAATAATAAAAATTGTAATTTTATTTTATTTTGTTTTTTTTTTTTTTTACATACTTTTTTAACTTTTGTTTTGCTCATATTTTATTTCAATTTCGCATCTTTTTTGTTTTATTTTAATTTTTGAGGTTCCCGGTTTCACCTCGTTATAATTGTTCTGAAATTATATACAATTTGGTTACTGAAAATCTAGTAAAAATATATACATCGTATTCAATACAATATAGACACAGGTATAATACTGAACCAGTGTAATACAGTATTATTCAAGTATAACTATTTAATATATTATATTATAAAAAAAATATAAATTTAAAATATATAAGTATAAATTAATATTAATTTTGTACTTACATCGCTTTCAGTCATTGATTCTTCGTAATCACTAATGTTCGAATTTGAAAATGACATTTTTTTTTTGAAGTTATACTTCTTTACGCAGGGTAGTGAGGAAAAAAAAATGCGAACGGGCGGCGCGTTTGTACGAACGCGAAAGCGTACATGTCCGTAAATAAATAAATATTGTCATGGTAATGTTGTTTTATTATATATTATAATATATATATATATATATATATTATATATTATAATCGGGCCATACTAATTAATATGAATAATAAATGATCAATTATTATTTATTTTTATTATTATTATTATTATTCACTCACATATCTATTGTCTGGATAAAAACAATACCACAAACAATTATCCATCGATCTGTCGAATAAAAGTATAAAAAAAATAATAAAACTATCAATAATAAATAATTCCGGATACTTCTTCTCATTTTTTCAATTAATTAATATTTTTTTCTTTCTTTTTCACTCACTCACGTGTACCATTCAAAAGAAGTTTAACTTCCCGCGCGCGTACTGGTAACACACATATTTTTTTTTTTTAAATATATCTTTAAACAGTAGATAATTTTTAGCTAAAATACGTTGAGTGGATTTAAGTTCTACCTCTAAAAGTGACTTGCTATTTGTATTTTCTAATCAATTCATATTATATTTAGACCAATAATAATAATAATAATAATAATAATCATAATAATAATTAGTGATTACGAAGAATCAATGACTGAAAGCGATGTAAGTACAAAATTAATATTAATTTATAGTTATATATTTTAAATTTATATCTTTATAATATAATATATTAAATAGTTATATTTGAATAATACTGTATTACACTGGTTCAGTATTATACCTGTGTCTATATTGTATTGAATACGATGTATATATTTTTACTAGATTTTCAGTAACCAAATTGTATATAATTTCAGAACAATTATAACGAGGTGAAATCGGGAACCTCAAAAATTAAAATAAAACAAAAAAGATGCGAAATTGAAATAAAATATGAGCAAAACAAAAGTTAAAAAAGTATGTAAAAAAAAAAAAAAAAACAAAATAAAATAAAATTACAATTTTTATTATTAATATTATTATAATTATTTTTTTTTTTTTAGAATATTTCATATCTGGATAGAATTGCTCCTTTAATTAAAGATGTGAAAGTAGATAATGAACTTATTAATTCGATGATGGTGAAACAAAGTGATGAAATAGTAAACATAAAATTGCCATCTGATAACGAAGTATGTAGTGATTACTGGACAATAAATCACTATAAAATAAAAAATATTCAAAATATTATTGCTACAGACAGGTAATATTATATAATATTATATAAATATGATTCTTAGAATTTTCTTGAATACAACTTACAATGACTAACTCCTAAAAAAAAAAAATAATTAAAGAAATTCATTGGTTGATGTATGTAATAGTTAAAAGGTTCTTATAAAATATGAATGTGAATATATGTATATATACTTGTAATGTAAAATACTTATCATTTTAATAAAAAAAAAAATGTTATAGATGGAAAGAATCTGAGTGCAGTGTAAAAATATCGATAACTGATTTAGCAAAGGATCAAGGGCTCGCAAACGATTTATCCAACATCATACAAACAATATTTACACGGTTCATAGTAGTATATATTTGTATGTTCTGAGCACCTTTTTTTACAGGGAGATTTCTTCATTTCAAGGCGGCATTTCTACATGCTCCACCGTTTGAAGTTGACTTGATTTTCTGATTGCAGTTGAATTGTTGATTGAAATTGACTTGATTTTCTGTTTATTTCGTTGAATTCGGATTTTGAATGACGTTGTATTGTTCTAATTCAATTTGTAGCTTAAAACATTCGACACACCGCTGCCACCAAAATGTTGTAACGTGTCCGCTTCAGCACTCGAAATAGAATTAGAAGTATAATAAAGATACACAAATGTTCGTATACTCAAAGTATTTTTATTAAAACATAACAAACGTCCGTACTGGATGTATAAGTACACACTCTCGTCGTCTCTGGTATTCGACTCTGATTCCACGAGTTTGTCTATCACTTTCCTATTTATGCTACGCGGAGTCACCTTGTTATGATGACGTCCGTACGATCTAAAGGTGTGCTCTATTTCTAGTCGTCACCTTTGATCTGCGCACACGCTTTCCTATAATATGGACTTTTAGCAAAGTCAACGAATGTCATTACATACATAATTATACATATTGTTTATATACTAATAATGAGAATTATTACATTCCTCCATCCCTAGAATGAAATTATATGTTGATACAATAAGAACTTAAATACTATGACTAAATTCTAAAACAATTATAATTTCATACAATATATTTTTTTTTCTCAATTCTAATTTCACACATCAGTTACTCTGATTGAGTCAAAATGTACAGGATTATAATCGCGTAATGTTACCGGAGGTGGTGTTGAAACCATACAATATTTTTTAATCATGCTACAAACAATTAAGATTACAAATAAAATTACAATGCTATAAAACATATAGTTATAATTTTTGTGTACCTCGTGTACAGATTGTTTTGTAATTTGATAATCAATATCTTTATTTATGTCATCTAAAAAACTAGATATAGAATTCAAATCGTGTAGTTTTTCAATTTTACCCATATTTTTAAATAATGGTATACTAAACGTAGCATCCTGCTTTAATTTTTGATCAACCATAATTATTTTTGTTTCCGGTATTATATCTACTAATTGCGAATTTTGAACCGATGTAACTGGTTGCAATATATTTTGGCTTGCATACCCTTTACATTGTTCTTCGATTGTTAATAACCCTGTTCCTACTAGCTCTATATTTTCTGATCTCTCGTCTACCCCACATGTTAGTACTACATTTTCGTGTTCTACGGTATAGATCCACGTGTTCTTAAATTCTAATTTATGAAATATACTGCCATATAACTCAAAATATAAATATTTACACATTTGCGTATTTTCCTTTTGTTTCGTAAATAACGCCATTTCATAGTTAGTATTTGAATTTTTAGAATGTAGAGGTTGTACGGCATAACAGATAAAGTAATTAACTATTCTCTTACACGAGTTTAATTGTTGTGGTGTAAAGGTCGTAAAATATTCATTAGAAGGACTTATCGCAATATAATCATACGTATTTTGTACGTACGCGAACTGTTTGTTTTTAATTTTAATCGGCATCGGAATTATATTACACAAAATAAAATTCTGTTGATCTACCAATGGTATTTTAATATTAAACATCAGTAATTGATTTTGATACACAACACTGACCTCTGATAATTGATACAAATTATATGGATCATCAATATTGTCAATATCAATCGGTAATGATGTACCTTTAGGTAATGAAAATTTAATTTCTTTCATGCTTTCATGTAATGCCTCGATAGATAAAACTCCCGCATGTATTTGACCTGCCCTTGCTAAATTAATCATTTCCGATATATAATATTGGTCTCGAATGCATACTGACCTAATAATAAATTTAATAACAAATATGAATCTTGTATTCGTGTTTTATGATCTACCTCAATTGTTTTATTTATTACCTGATCCGATAAATTTGTTATATCTGCCATAAACTCATTAATTTTATTTCGTAAAAATGTAGTGTCCCTAAAACTTTGATCTGTTTGTTTCATTTCCGTTTTAATGACTCGCTTTTGTGATTTCATTATATTTAACGTAATTTTTTCGGATTGTTGTAATTGTAATACATTATTTGTATTTGTTTCTACGCACTTATTATTGCATATTCCAAATAGTAAATTTGCTAAATTACCTACACTATCAATTATTCCTCTCCTTCCCCTTTTTGAAGGATGTCCTAACGTTTTCAAAATTTTTGCCCTTTTGTTTAAAATTCCATTAGTAAAATCCGTAAATACAGTTTTGAAATTTTGACAAATGATGTTAGCTTTCGATGGTATTAATTCGTTTTCCAGGCAATATTGTTTTGTACTATCTAAATATGTATCAAAAATTTTCTCGCGTTCGTTATAAATTGTTAGATTAACATATGTACAAAGTGTCCATTGTGTATGATCCTGACGGATCCTTTATTTTCAAAATAAAGCCCTGAGTGGTTGCTCACGTGTGTAATGTTGTATAGTGCATGTTGTGTTCCGTGTGTTGTTGTGTGTAAGATGGACAGACATATAATAAACCTATAACAATTTTTAACTAGATTAGAGTCTATAATTCCGTTATCTAAAAATTCATTTAAATTTATTTATACACACTACAAATATACTAATATACTTTATATACTCATATTTATACATTCTATGTTTGTATATATTTTCCTAATTATTATCTACTATTTCGTTAAATAGTTGTAAATGATTCATATGAACTCTAACTATTTTGTTATTCTTCCTAATCGATACATTTACGGGTTCATGGACCTCCACGATTTCGTATGGACCTATCCAATTAGGTTCTAACTTGTTTTTCTTTTTCATATTTTTCATAAGTACCTTATCTCCTATTTCTAACTCTATCGGGTTAATGTGTTTGTCATAATTAGATTTAGATTTTAATTTTGCTGCTATTAAATGTTTCTTTGCCATTTGCCTTGCTTCCTGCATACGAGTTCTTAAATCACTTACGTAATCATTGTAATTATAACCCTGTGATGGTGGTTTCAAAAAGCTAGATGGAATGACCGGTGTAGTACTCTCGTACTACACTTGTACACTTAATTATTTAATGACGTGCTTCGACGTTTCGTTGTTGAGCTTGAGTGACGATGAGGTTGCACTTAGAAATGAATAAGTATATATTCACGGTATTAATGTTTATTATGTTTTAACAAAATTACAGGCTATAACAGTTTACAATTGTAGAAATTTGTGGGCAGAGGTTACGCTCGGTACCCAAGAACTATGTGCAGTTAAGCTAAAGTAAAATAATTCTAACTTAGTGACTACTTAGTTGCTATATTTATATTAATGTATGCCCGATCTCTAAGGAGCCATGGGATTGGCTTACATGCTTAGAAGTGTTTTACGTAATCAATAACAAAAAAAAAATAAATTAATCAGTTTCCATAAATATGAAATTCTCAATAACAGTCAAAAAGTACAAGGTACAAGGATTTACTCTGCGTCATGGAAATGTTACCTATTTATACATAATTAAAGTAAACCGTGCGTTTACGTAATACGGTTTACTACATGCCTCCCCTGTAAAATTGGAGCCGTAGGTTCCAATCAATAGCATGTCTTGAGGGTTGGGTAGATAGTGTATGCGTGTGCTGTTTGTGCTTTTTCTGTGATAGGAGGAGCCGTTGCTTCTGATGTTGTCGGTTCTTTACAATGTCATGTCCCCGTGCTCTGCCTTATTTGTACCATTTCACTTTGTTCTAGGTACAATAAGGCTTCGTTGTTCATTGCTTTTGATTTGTAAGAATGCAATTGATATTACGAAAATCACAAAAATTGTCAAATATAATATATAGTTATGTATAGTTTGATTATTTTGTAGCTGTGTTACTTTGTATATGTTATTGTTATGTTCTTGTAGTTGCATATGTGTTTTGGAAATTAAATTTAGATCGCTCATGTGATTGTTAATTACATTCTCGTCTTTCATAGTGTAAAGGTCGAGTGATACGTGCTGAAATTCTTGTGGTGTGATAATTGACGTTGGTATGAAATCTGCATAATTGTTCTCGGAATTTGTGCTTGGTATTAACAAATCCCTGGTTGCGTATCCCTTACAAGTTTCGTTGATAGAAATGATTTCTACCCCTTCTAATAGGTGCGTGCTTGCTTCTTGGTTGTTTTCGCAGTTTATTATAATAACTTCGCTATCGGTTGCATATAACCATTTATTTCGGTAGCTTAGTTTGTGAAAAATGGTAGCTTGCAGTCTTACATGTCGTATATCACAGGTAGTTGGTACCTCTTTAGGGTCTTGCAGTAGTTGTACTTCGCATATTGGTCGTAGATTCCGAGGATGGAGGGATTGGATCTCGGGACATAAAAGGAAACTTCTAGCATGTTTACATTGATTATAGTGAAATTCGTCGTACACTACATAATGTTCCTTATTTTTACTTATGGCTAAGAACTTATGACTAGGTGCAATATAAACACAGTTAATATTTGTGTGACAATAAGGTTTTGGTATTAAGTGATATAAAATAAAATTATTTTGATAAATTAGTGGTATGGTTAGTATAAACACTATATTGTTATTAGAATAGTATATCTTAACATCTGACAGTTTTACTATGTCGTTAACCGTTTCAAGAGAAAGTGGGTATGGAAAATCTGTTCCTATAGGTAAGGACAGTCTAATATCTTGGAATTGAGCTAACAAATCCGTCGGTCCTAACAGGTATGGGTGGATTTGCCCTAGTTTTGCTGCCTCAATAATGGATAGTAAAATGTCAGTTTCCGCCATATATTTTGTAAATAACAAGTTCATTTAACCAAAATGTCTAAAGACAAAGTTATTAATTTGTTGTTCCATCGTTATGTTTTTAAGTTCGGTTATCTGTAATTGTAAGTGGTAACTTTCACGACTTTCGTATTCTTGTTTTACTTTAATAACTTTAAGTTGTTCTTTTTCTAATTTAATATAATTTCCTAACAATTTCCCAATTCCTAGATCAAAACTTTTTTTACAATTAAGATCGCATAAACCATAAAATGTTTGCGCGATTTTAGTTATAGTTCCAATATTAATGCTACGTTTTGTTACGTGGTCGTGATGCCCTATCAAATGGTAGAGGGCCCCTTTCTTTTCTTTAATTTGCCTAGCAATACCGTTTACTAAAAATAACAAATTATTGCAGTTCGCTTCTACGTACTGACTTATGATCCTACAGGATTGTTCAGTTTTTGTTACTAAGTTGTCAATGAAATCCCATTGATCATTGTATTTTTTAAGACCGACAAATGCCGTTAAGTCCCATTTAGATGTCGCAATATTTACTGTTCCGCGGTTCTCGTAATATAACCCAGATTGTTGTGGTAATTTTTCGTCGTGGAATCGTATAACGCCTGTTACCATCGAAATGCAGACAAACGTTAGAAATTGCCTGTAATTATTGTAACACGTTTATTAAGTTTCGGTAGGTTCTTTTTCGTAAAAGTTTATCAAATAAACACTTGGTTAGGACTACGGTACATGGGTCATGTGCGTGTGTTATGTCGTGTTCCTTGCGACAAGCCGACAACACATATCGTGTGTTTCAAGTAAGTTTAACATGTTACCGTTTTTGTCAAACCAACCTAAGGCTATGGTTACTATGACGCGTTTATGGTACATTAACTGTAGTACGAATTGTTGGTTATTGTCCACATTAGATGCTCTAATGTTCAAAATAGGATAGTGCAAACTTAGTCTGTTTAAAATAAGCGCGTCAGTATCCCCGTTCCATAAAACGATTATTGTTCTTTGGTCGCCCCGTTGTAAGTAGTTGTAAATCGTGTCCCTATGTAAATTATTTATTTTTGAATTAATGCTGTCATAGATTTGTGCTAAACTTATAGCGGCTTTGGCTGATGGCCACCCAAAAAACTTAATCAAATTTTTAACTGCCCATGTTTGTTCCTTATCATTAATTGGTCTAACGGTTGAGTCCGTTAAAAGTTGTGGATGTCCTTCCAATTTTATCACTTTAAATTGGTCCAAACTATTAGATAACGCTCCGCAGATTAATACGTGTTTGTTTTTCTCTAATACCGTAAACTCGAAATCAATAACGATAAATTTGTGAGTGTTGTCCCTACAAAAAAAAACATTTACTCAGTAAAATAATAATAATATTGATAATAATGAAAACAAAATAATAATAATGATCGTAACTATTTACTAATTATCATAGCTATATGTATAATATATTGTATATATAAATATATATATATATATATATATATATACAGTCACTCATTGAATGGTTTAATATTGTTTATGTGTATGTGTTACGTCCCAACTGACGTCGATATATACATCAACGTGGAAATGAATACTTGATGCAATAGGTTATTAAGAGTATTTATTTAAGTACAAAATTACAATGTATAAAGCTTAAGTAGAGAGGTGAGCGGTGTTACGACCTGACTCTGAATTGTTACTAAGATTTTGAGTGGTGTTACGACCTGCCTCCAAATTCATACTAAGACTGTGAGTGGTTTTACGACCTGCCTCCAAGTGTCTTGGGTATCCCTAACCGTCTGACGAGCTCTTGTCCTGGGCTGGTATATATATGATCGAGATCTTTGGAGTGGGTGGTCATAGTAGTGGCAAAATTCGGTCATGAGACAGAGTCCTGGTTTCGTACTTGGTATGCTGGTCGACTCGTATCCTCCGTATGGGTGTTTAGCTTTCCCGAGGAGATACGTGTGACGACGCTTGTATAGCTTAATTGTTTTATACTATGTTTTTGCAATGATCTAAGCATGTTATAATATACTAATTGC